CCCAGTGAAGCCAGGAGGGCGGCGCAGCCAGATCTCCTTGTGCAGACTGCCCTGCAAGAAAGCTGTGCTGAAGTCAAGAGAGTGAAGCTTGTAGTCACGCTGAGCGGCAACGTGCAGCAGTACCCGAAGAGTCGTCATCTTCGGTGTGGGGGAGAAGGTCTGAAAGAAGTCTACTCCCTCTCGCTGACTGAAACCTCGTGCAACGTAACGAGCCTTGAAGACAGGCGGAGAACCTGGCGGCCGCTTCACCCTGAAAATCCACATGCCACTGACGATGTTCGCCCCAGGAGGGGGAACCTCGTCGACGTAAGTGCCTGTGGACTTCCAGGATGCCATCTTTGCGTCCATGGCTGTCTGCCATTGAGAGGAGTAATCACCCGCGATCGCCTCAGCGTAAGAGCGCGGGGTCGGGATGTCTGGAGCATCCGGGTCTCCCTCGGGGGCAAGCAGCATGGACACGAGATGAGGTGTAGCGGCTGCAAGACACTCGAGGTCCTCCTGCTTGTCCTCAAGGACGTCCGTGCCAAGAGCACACTCACCCCCAACAGACGGAGGACAGACAGACTCAGACTCAGCAACAAGACTAGCGGCGTAGTCTAGACGACAGGCAGCAGCAAAGTCAACAAGCTCAGCGACGAAGGCAGAGGCAGCAGCAGACTCAAACGACGGGTCAGTGACAACAGTGGCTAGCAGACGCGTGACAGTAGAGTGAGCAGCATGGGTGCGGTCAGACTCAGGCTCAGGAATGGTAGGCAGAGTAGACGAAGGAGGGGATGGCGGGGGAACACGCTGCGGAGGAGAGGAAGGACGACGGACGACGAGGTGGGTGCCGGAGACAGCCGGCAGACGCGAACGAGGAACACGACCACCGGAACGACCAGGACGGACAGGCGAGACAGGACGCGACGCTGGCTCACGACGCTCAGTAAGACCCCCTGTCTGCTCAGTGTAAGGAGAAGGAGCAGGCAGTAGTGAGCCAGGCTGTAACGGAAGACCAGTAGACGAAGGGAGACTAAGAACCTGGCGAAGCACAGAGTCAGGCGGTGGCTGAGACGACGGAGACGGAGGAGCAAAGAACAGGCGCGGCTGTGCAGTGCCACCAGCACCAGCAGCTCCAGTACCCCCAGCAGCTCCAGCACCTCCAGCAGCTCCAGAACCCTCAGCGCCAGCTCCTCCAGGACCAGCTCCACCAGCAGCAGCACCCTCAGCACCGGCACCTCTAGTCCCAGGGACTCCAGCCTCAGTGTCTCCAACAGCAGCACCCCCAGACTCAGTACCTCCAGCAGCAGCACCCTCAGGCTCAGCACCTCCAGCCCCAGCAGCTCCAGTACCTCCAGTACGAGCACCTCCGGGACCAGCACCACTCCCAGCTCTAGTGACGCCAGCAGAAGTACCTCTAGCGGCAGAGCCCCGAGCTCCAGAAGCGCGACCCTGACGGCGACCGTACCAGTCGTGCAGCTGCTGTGAGGTGAGAGGCACACGCGGACGAAGGCGGCTACTCCAAGGAGACTGCACAACAGCAGACTCAGAACCCTCAGCGCCAGCACCCGCAGCAGCTCCAGAACCTCTAGCGCCAGCACCCGCAGCAGCTCCAGAACCTCCAGCTCCAGCACCCTCAGCAACCCCAGAGCCTCCAGCTCCAGCACCCTCAGTAGCTCCAGAACCTCCAGCTCCAGCACCCGCAGCAGCTCCAGAACCTCCAGCAGAAACAACTCCAGTAGCAGAGTCACCAGCTCCAGCGCCTCCCGCAGCAGGGCTCCTAGCTCCAGCAGCGCGACCCTGACGGTCAGCGTACCACTCACGCAGCTGCTGTGGGGAGAGAGGGAGTCGACGACGAGAGTGCAACGGCGAGGTACCAGCGGAGCGACTACGGAGATGGCCGCCCCAGGGAGACTGCTCACCAGGCGCCTCAGCGCCCCCAGGTGCAGCACCCCCAGACTCAGTACCCCCAGGCTCAGCACCCCCAGACTCCTCACGCCCAGGCTCTGCACCTCCAGTCCCCGCACCCGCGTCCTGGAGCGCAGAACCCGCCACCAAGTTCGTAGAGAACGCGGGGAGGTAAAGACCCGACAGTGTGCCGGACGGGACAGCAGGACAAGGGAGGGCAGTGGTGGAGGTCGCACGGACTGGACCCCTAGAGGGGTCTGCCAGAGAGACTGCAACGGGCCGACTGAGCGGCGTGAGGGTGGTGCTGTCGCGAAAGAAGGAGCGTGAAGCACCGGAGTCAAGTGTGAAGGTGTAAAAGGCCTCAGCAGGCGCAGTACCAGAGAGAGCAGACTCACCAGCACCTGGAGCAGAAGCCTCACCAGCACCTAGGGCAGCAGCCTCACCAGCACCTAGAGCAGCAGGCTCTATACCTGGGTCATGCGGTACGCACAGGTAACAGGCACCGTCAGCACTAGTAGGCAATGCATACATGGCAGTGAGAATAGCATCATAGTCAAGAGCAAATACATCTACCCTCTGCCTAAGCAGCTCCAGCCAGGTGGGGAGCTCAGCCTCGTCGCCAAACTCGGTACGCCAGGCGTCGCTCAGACGGACGAAGCAGCGGGACTGTGTGTGACCAGGTGTCCCGCAAGGCTGACCAGCCCGATCACCTGTGCGAATGACGTACGGGCAGCGAACGGGACTCAAAGACCCTCTACTCTGAGCGTACCACTCGTGAAGCTGCTGGGAAGTAAGTGTCTCGCGTGGACGCCGCTGTAGCTGCAGCTGGCCACTGCCAGACGCTCCCAACTGACCAGCTCCAGGGCGACAGCTACGACGGCTACCGCCACAACCCCAATTAGCGTACCACTCACGAAGCTGCTGGGGCGGAAGAGACTCGCGTGGATGTCGCTGGAGCTGCATCTGGCCACCGCCAGTAGCAGCAGTAGTAGTAGCAGTAGCCTAGCAGTAGTAACAGAAGGAGCAGCAGTAGCAGCGCGGGCAGGGCAGTCAGGCAGGCAGACAGGCAGACAGGCTGGCAGGCAGGCAGGCAGGCAGGCAGACAGGCAGGCAGGCTGGCATTCAGGCAGGCAGGCAGATGGCGCGGCAGCGCGCTAACAAGGCAGGTGCTCACCAGGCGGGAAGGGCAGGCGCTCGCCGGGCGAGCAGGGCCGGCGCTCGGCGGGCGAGCAGGGGCGGCGTCGCGGGTCCAGGGGCGGCGTCGCGGGTCCAGGGGCGGCGTCGCGGGGTCCAGGGGCGGCTGCACGGAGTCCAGGGGCGGCTGCACCAGGGGCGGCTGCTTCAGGGGCCCGGGGCGGCTGCTCGGGGTCCAGGGGCGGCTGCGCCAGGGGCGGCTGCTGCAGGGGGCAGGGGCGGCTGCTCTAGGTCCAGGGCGGCTGCTCGAGGGTCCAGGGGCGGCTGCACCAGGGGCGGCTGCTTCAGGGGCCAAGGGCGGCTGCTTTGGGTCCAGGGGCGGCTGCTCGAGGGTCCAGGGTCGGCTGCACCAGGGGCGGCTGCTCTGGGTCCAGGGGCGGCTGCTCGAGGGTCCAGGGGCGGCTGCACCAGGGGCGGCTGCTTCAGGGGCCAGGGGCGGCTGCTCTGGGTCCAGGGGCGGCTGCTAGAGGGTCCAGGGGCGGCTGCACCAGGGGCAGCTGCTCGAGGGTCCAGGGGCGGCTGCACCAGGGGCGGCTGCTTCAGGGGCCAGGGACGGTTGCTCCAGGGGCGGCGTAGCTGGTGCAGGGCAGCGCGTGGGTCCCACAGGTGCCGTGACGGGCGACGGGGGGGCAGCGCGCCGTCACCGGAGAAGGTGACGCGTGGGGCCGGCGGCAGGCTGCGCGGGCGGCTGACGTAGCGCGCGGGGCCGAAAACGGGCTACGCGGGCGGCGGACGCGGCGCGCAGGGCCTAAGCAGGCTGCGCGCGGGCGGCTTACGCGACGCGCGGGTTGGCGGCAGGCTGCACGGGCGGCTGACGTGGCGCGCGGGGCCTGAACGGGCCTAAACGAAGAGCGCGCAGGCTGCTCAAGCGGCGCGCGCGGGAAAAAAAAAAAAAAGGGCCGCGCGCGTGCAGCCGAGGCGCGCGCGGGCAGCAGGCAAGGCAGGTGAGGTAACGTGGTAACGGTGGGCCCTTATCTTAGGTCCTAGAGACCTATAGGCTCTAGATACCATCTTAGAATCTTAGGCATGAAGTTGTGTGTGATTAGGTCAAGGTTGGGGTACAAGACTAGAGTGTCGAGAATGTTTCTGTACCCCCTAAGGCTAGCCCCAATATAGCCTAGATACTAATATGCATATGTTTTGACAGCCTCTCCCATCTCTGCCCTGAAAATGTCCCATCCTCCCACAACCAAACCAGCCAGAGAGAAAAGTGCAGGTTTTTTTATTCCCTTGATTTACCCTGGTGCCCATGCCATCCCTCCCCAAAAATTTATCCCTGCCTACAATGAAGATGGTGGAAGGAGGGGCTGCAACATCGCCATGACAACCCCCTCCTTCCGACCTCGGGAGGCCCTGCTTCCGATTTGGGGGGGGGGGGGTGGGGGGTGGGGGGGTGGACTAGGGGAAGTCACTTCGGAATCACCTCTTAACTCTAGCTTAACCCTAGCGCTCCAAGTAGGTGGCTGCCTGTCGAGCAGGGCCGACGTGGCTTGAATCGATTTGATTCTTCTAAGAATGTACCTTCCGCACCGGCTGTGCTGTGCTGTGTGATGCTCGGCCAAAAGGCCAATGTAGCAACAGAACAGCGCCTAGGTACTCTTGCTTGCAGGCACGGATAATTGCCAAGAGGGGCTACATGACCCTGTCTACCCTCCAGAATCTTTTTGTATATGGTTCCCGGGGAAATCACCGGGAAGAGACTAACTGTGAAAAAAACTGCAAGCACTTTTGGAGTGCGATAGGCTAGGAAGTTCCAGCATGTGACAGCCATCTACAAAAGCAATATATATAGCTTCCCATTGACAGATGTGCAGTTCTAATATCATTAGATCAATACAGGAAAAATGGCCATATAAGAAAAAAAAAGGAAAAACAACTCAGATGGCTACCCAGCGAGTAGTCCCAATGTGCTGGCCACTTCAGTTCGTCTTATCTGTGATCTTGGCCTTGAGATCATCAATCAAGAGAGACAGCTCCTTCCTGCTAGACTGCAGATTGTTCAATCAACATGCAGCAGAACCACGTATATGTGTCAGTAGATCAAAAGAGCAATCACAAGCGGCAGTGGAAGAGCTTGAGGACATGCAAGGGCTCACCTTGAAGAGAAGGTAACGGTAGATGAACCACCCACTGTAGACGGTTCCGACAAGCTCGAGGAACTTCGGAAGCTGCACGCAATTATATGATACGTATGATGTGGGTGAATATTCCGAATTGTTGAGTTTGTTGATTCGTCGCAAAATTTCAATGCTTACTAGAGGGATGGAGTTCACAGCAGAGACGATAGTGGAGGAGAGCCACAGGGCAACGAGAGCTCCACCACCGTAGATGACGACGGTTGACTTATCCTCAACGGCGTCCCACTGAAACCACAACAAAGAATCAAATCAATAACGAGGATCAAGCAGGAACGGGGCGAGCTATTGAAAATACGTGATTGTGAAATCTAACCGTAAGATTCCCGATTCACTGTACCTTGTCCTTCGCATCCTCTAGAACCTCCTTCGACTTCTTAACGAACTCCGACTCCTCATACTCCTCATTGGTCGCCCTCACTACGAATTTCCGGGTCTTGGCAGTCTCTGCACAACATGCACGAACAACGTCAAGCCACTGACATCACCTAAGACATGCTAGGGAATGATCCAAACTTACCGCTCCGGCTGGAAGCAGCAATACGGTTGCCGAGGAACAGCGACGGAGCTGCAACCCTCACTGCAGCTCGGGGCTTCAAAGAAATGCCAAAGCCAGCAGCGATAGGAACAGTTGCAACTGCGGAAGCCATGGCTGACTGCTGATCGCACAGAAAATTGGGCTAGCAAATGATCGAAAATACTCAAGAATGATCACCCAGTAATCAGTTTGACGGAGCAATAAGAGGGGAGGAAATACGAGATTCGAGAAATTCGGAGCTGGTGGTGTCCTGAAAGTTGGTCGGATGACGTGGCGCGACATGTGATGGGACGCGCCTGCTTTGATTGGAGTGAGAGGTGGCTCCCAGCATCTCTCGAGAAAACGTGCAACGAACCACATTCCTTGATTCAGCCACCACACGAATTCCCAGAGTGTAGGAACGATCGTCACATCACCAAAGGGTTTTCTGCAGTTCGCGTGAAAAGCTGCCTCGTGAAATTTCATGTTTGGGCGTCCACAAGTGTAGCTGGAAACCACAATTATATAATTAGTTGATTCAACATCCTGTTTGGTATGATTCTTGTCTGAAGGAGCTAGAGCTCACAGCCATGGATTTCGCGTTAAAATCAAGGGATTCAATGTACATCAATCATCAATTATTTGGCTAGACGGATTATATGGATTAGAGTTTAAGGTAATATCACTTTGAGGGATCACAATGGAAACACCGCTTCTGCTTATTTGGTTTCATTAACTTTCAAGGTTGTCCTCAGGCTTATCCATTGAGTTTATCCTGGCTCGCCAAGCTCTGTGTGGATTCGTCACATCACCATGAACCACCAGATTCGTCAACATTACATTGAGCAGCACTGATATCACGGTCTTCACCCGCGACAATGATTCGCCGCTGTCTATTCAATTGCCTACGAAGGAGCATCACACACACATCGTGCTTATTGCTGCGATAAGATGTTGATCGACCCTAGGATCACCTCAAGACGGTTCGCACACGGTTGATTGGTGGTGGTGGGCCCTTTGTCAAACTTATATGCTATGGTTTATCTAGGCTGTAGTAGGGTAGACACTATAGGGTACAACATTTCTAGGTTTCCTACTTGTACCCACCTGCTTGCTAGTTCATTCATTCCTCATTTCTTCACATGGTATAGAGCAGGTTCCCTAGTGGGAACGTTTCCTAGGGCCCACCGAAAATTCGAATTTTTTTTTTCCTGCCCGAGTCGCGCCCCGCGTCCCCTGCCCTTAGTGGCCCCTTAGCCGCTCCCTCGCGGCCCCTCTCACGGACCCTCGCGGCCCCTTAGCCGCTCCCTAGCGGCCCCACTCACGGCCCCTCGCGGCCCCTCTCACGGCCCCTCGCGGCCCCTTAGCCGCTCCCTAGCGGCCCCACTCACGGCCCCTCTCGTGGCCCCTCCGCGGCCGTTCGCGGCCCCTCGCGGCCCCTCCGCGGCCGTTCGCGGCCCCTCGGGGCCCCTCTCGCGGCCCCTCGGGGCCCCTCTCGCGGCCCCTCCGCGGCCGTTCGCGGCCCCTCGCGGCCCCTCCGCAGCCGTTCGCGGCCCCTCGCGGCCCCTCCGCGGCCGTTCGCGGCCCCTCGCGGCCCCTATCCCGGCCCCTCGCGGCCCCTCTCACGGCCCCTCGCGGCCCTGTCGCGGCCCCTCGCGGCCCCTCGTGGCTCGTCGCGGCCCCTCCGCGGCTCCCTCGCGGCCCCGTTGCGGCTCCCTCGTCGCCCCTGCCCGTCACGGCGCCCTGCCCTAACCCGCGCCCTGGAGCAGCCGCCACTGCAGCAGCCGCCCCTGGAGCAGCCGCCACTGCTGCAGCCGTTCCTGGAGCAGCCGCCCCTGCAGCAGCCGCCCCGGGAGCAGCCGCCACTGCAGCAGCCGCCCCTGGAGCAGCCGCCACTGCAGCAGCCGCCCCTGGCGCAGCCGCCACTGCAGCAGCCGCCCCTGGAGCAGCCGCCCCTGCAGCAGCCGCCCCTGGAGCAGCCGCCACTGCAGCAGCCGCCCCTGGAGCAGCCGCCCCTGCAGCAGCCGCCCCGGGAGCAGCCGCCACTGCAGCAGCCGCCCCTGGAGCAGCCGCCACTGCAGCAGCCGCCCCTGGCGCAGCCGCCACTGCAACAGCCGCCCCTGGAGCAGCCGCAAAGCCCTCGCCCTGCAGTGGTAGCCGCCTCGCCGTTGCCGCAGTCGTACGCCTGCCCTTCTCGCCACTGGTGAGCACTGCCTTGCCCGTACTGCTGTTACTGCTGCTCTTGCTGCTACTTCTCTTTCTACTGCTACTGCTGCTCCTGGCGTGGCCAAATGCAGCTCCAGCGCCGTCCACGTGAGTCCCTCGCCCCCCAACAGCTTCGTGAGTGGTACGCTAGTTGGGGTTGTAGGGGTGGCCGCGCTGCGACTACTGCTACTGCTTCTACTGCTGCTACTGCGGCTACCACTGCTCCTCCTGCTCCTGGCTGTGGCCAGATGCAGCTCCAGCGACGTCCGCGTGAGTCCCTCACGCCCCAGCAGCTTCGTGAGTGGTACGCTACTTGGGGTTGTCGGGGTGGCCGTAGTGGGAGTCGTTCCGGCGTGAGGAGTTCGGGAGCTACTTGTAGTGGCCAGGCGCAGCTGCAGCGTAGTCCGCGCGCGGTCCTTTCGCCCCAGCAGCTTCGTGAGTGGTACGCTCAGCGTGGAGGGTCACGGAATACTGCTCGCTGTCCGTACGTCATTCGCACTGGTGCTCGGACTGGTCAGCCCTGCGGGACGCTTGGTCACGCCGAGTCCCGCTGCTTTGCCCGTCTGAGCGACATCTGGCGTACGGAGTTTGGCGACGCCGCTGAGCTCCCCGACTGGGTGGAGCTGCTTAGGCAGAGGGTAGATATCTATGCTCTTGACTACGATGCTATCCTCACTGCCATGTATGCATTGCCTACTAGTGATGTGAGTGACTGTTACCTGTGTGTTCCGCCTGACCCGGGCATTGAGGCTGCTGCTCTTGGTGCTGGTGAGGCTGCTGCTCTAGGTGCTAGTGCGTCTGCTCCTCCAGGTGCTGGTGAGTCTGCTCCTCCAGGTGCTGGTGAGTCTGCTGCCCCAGGTGCGGGTGAGTCTGCTCTCTCAGGTACCACGTCGTCTCAGGTGTTACACACCTTCACCCTTGACTCGGGTGCTTCTCGCTCCTTCTTTCGAGACCGCACCACACTCACGCCGCTTAGTCGGCCGGTTGCAGTCTCCCTGGCAGACCCCTCTGGGGGTCCCGTCCTTGCCCACTTCTCCACTGTCTTACCGTGTCCGGCGGCCCCTTCTGGCTCCCTGTCAGGTCTTTACCTCCCCTCGTTCTCTACGAACTTGGTGAGTGGTGCTGACCAACAGGACGCAGGGGTTGACCAAATCACTCCTGCGCGTCAGCGAGTGACCCACTGTACGTGTGCTCGGACAGGCCGACACTTGGCCACGTTTACCCGTCAGCCGGGGTCGAGCCTGTACACACTAACTACTGAGTCTCCTCAGGTAGCTGCGTCGAGTCAGGTGTTTGCTGCAGCGTCCAGGTCTAGTCCTGAGTCTGCCCCCTGCTCGTGTCGTCTCCTGTCTCACCAGACTCTCCTCTGGCACCACCGCCTTGGTCACCCCTCCCTCCCTCGTCTCCGAGGCATGGCCTCTCGTTTCCTTGTCTCGGGTCTCCCCCGGTCCCTCCCTTCTCTTCCTCCGGGGCCTGGCCCCACCTGCATTCCCTGCGTCGAGGGGCGGCAGCGCGCCGCTCCTCACTCCTCCGAGTTTCCTCCGACAGAGGCTCCGCTGCAGACGCTTCACATGGACGTGTGGGGCCCAGCCCGCGTCCGTGGACAGGGTCACGGGCGTTACTTCCTGCTGGTGGTTGACGACTACTCGCGTTACACCACAGTCTTCCCCTTGCGCTGCAAGGGTGAGGTCACTGAGGTGTTGATCGACTGGATCCACGCAGCTTGTCTCCAGCTCAGAGAGAGTTTCGGCTCGGACTTTCCTGTCCTGCGTCTGCACTCCGACAGACGCGGTGAGTTTTCCTCTGCCCTTCTGCGAGCCTTCTGTCGTGCACAGGGCATCCGCCAGACGTTCACGCTTCCGGCCTCTCCACAGCAAAATGGGATTGCTGAGCGCCGCATTGGTATTGTCATGGACGTCGCTCGTACGTACATGATCCATGCGGCTGCTCCCCATTTTCTGTGGCCGTTCGCGGTTCAGTACGCGGCGCATCAGATCAACCTTCAGCCCCGGGTCTCCTTGCCGGAGACCTCCCCTACTCTGAGGTGGACGGGGAAGGTTGGCGATGCGTCTGCGTTTCGTGTCTGGGGATCTCGGGCTTTTGTCCGCGACTTGTCTGCGGACAAGCTGTCCCCCCGTGCTGTTCCCTGCGTCTTCCTTGGCTTCCCCCCTGACGCGCCTGGCTGGCAGTTTTACCACCCCACCTCGCGCCGTGTTCTGTCTTCCAAGGACGTCACCTTTGACGAGTCGGTCCCCTTCTACCGTCTCTTCCCCTACCGCACTGCCCCGCTCCCCCCTCCGCCGCTCTTCCTCACGCCAGGTGCTGCCTTGGTAGACCCCTTGCCTCCCCAGGTTCCTGCTCCCTCAGGTGTTTCCCAGGTAGACCCGGTCGAGCCTGTCGAGGTAGCTGTCGACTCTGGTCCTGCGCGAGGTACTGAGCGTGCTGAGCCTGGTGGTGCTGGGTCTGGAGGTACTGCGCCTGGGGGTGCTGAGCCTGGGGGTGCGGAGCCTGCGGGTGCTGAGCCTGGGGGTGCGGAGTCTACGGGTGCTGAGCCTGGGGGTGCAGAGACTGTAAGTCCACAGGCACTTACGTCGACGAGGTTCCCCCACCTGGGGCGAACATCGTCAGTGGCATGTGGATTTTCAGGGTAAAGTGGCCGCCGGGTTCTCCGCCTGTCTTCAAGGCGCGTTACGTGGCTTGAGGCTTCAGTCAGCGGCAGGGAGTTGACTACTTTCAGACCTTCTCTCCCACCCCGAAGATGACCACTCTTCGGGTGCTGCTGCACATAGCCGCTCAGCGTGACTACGAGCTTCACTCTCTTGACTTCAGCACAGCTTTCCTGCAGGGCAGCCTTCACGAGGAGATCTGGCTGCGCCGCCCACCTGGCTTCACTGGGTCGTTTCCCCCTGGTACCCAGTGGAGCCTCCG